TGCGCGTGTGCGTGCGCGCGCGGCCCCGCACGCGTGTCAGGCACCCCGGCTCCGGGGGAAGGAGCGCTGGACATTCTTCCCTCTGCGGCATGGTGCTGCAGCTACGCCTAGGCCCGCAGCAGGATCGATCTGGGTCTCTGTTTCTTTCTGACTGGCCTGGCGGTGCTGGTGACGCGCAGCCAGCCCTGGAACCCGAGCCTGGGGGTTCCGCCAGCCAGGCGAGGCTGGCCGTTCTTTTCACTGCAGTCTGCTGTTGGCGATACCTCGTTGCACGGCCGTGGAGCTCGCAAGCCCCTCCACGGTGACAGTGGCACAAGGGGCGCCCCCAGAGGGTTCTGGGCACGGGGGTGGTCTTGGGTTGCCAATCCACCCCGGCTGATGCTCAGCCCCACCTTTCCGCCCCCCGCTCCAGTGAGGCGGAGGAATGCATCGCTGTGGCTAGGTGTGTATACGCCACGTCAGGGCCCATCTGTGCACTTGTGCGTGTGTGCGTGCGCGCGTTGCCCAGCACGCGTGTCAGGCACCCCGCCTCAGGGGGAACGAGCGTTGCACACTCTCTTCTTCGGCACAGTGGTGTACTCTGCCCAGGCCCGCAGCAGGTTTCGTTCTGGGGTCTGGGTTCGTCCTGGCTGGCGGTGCTGGTTGCGCAGCCAGCCCTGGAACCCGAGCTTTGGGGTTCCGTCAGCCAGGCGAATGCCAAATCCCCCCTTTTTCACTGTGCGAGCTGTTGGCGAGACCCTGTTGCGCGGCTGTGGAGCGCCTGGTGGCGCCCTCCACGGTGACAGTGGCACATGGGGGGTCCCCGTGGGTTGTCTGGGCACGGGGGTGGACTTGGGTTGCCAGTCCGCCCCGACAGTGGCTCAGCCCCCCCCCCCCCCCGCGATCGTGGGCGGAAAAGGTAAGGTGTTGCTGCGGCTAGGTGTGCGACGCCACATCCGGGCCCAGCACCTCGTTCAGCGTCGGCAGCGCTTTGCCGTCTCACCGGCCCCACCCTCGGCCGCTGTGGAGAACATTGGTGGCCCAGTGCCACGAGGTTTCGGGTTAAGGTCGGGTCAGCCAAACCTTAGCCTCCCTCTTAACCAATTGATCGTCCTTACCATCCTCCCTCCATCCCTCTTATCCTTTGCCTCTCGTCATCGGTTATCCGTCAATTATTTTCATTCGCCTCATCCTCCTGATCATCCTCACCCTCATACTCCCTCCTCTCCCTCTCCCCCTCCTCAATATCCGTCCGCCCCCTCATTATCATCATCCTTGCCAACATCATCATCCGCATCCTCTACCTCCTCTTCCGTCCCGCTCATTGTTCCTCCGCCCCCTCTTCGCCCCCCCGCCTCCCTCACCTCCCCCCTCTCCTTCTCATTCCCTTGTTCCAGAGATAACGGCACCCCTGGGGACCTTTCACGAAGCATACTTTCTTAGAGGGTGCCTGTGCCAAGGGACGCGCTGGCTGAATAGCCTCGCCCGCTCTAGTTGGTAGTCCGCAAACGTGGTGGTGACAACGCCCGGCGGTGAGATGCGAGCGACTTGGTGTCACAATCCGATTTGGGGACTCGTGTGGGTTTTCGAGGATGTCCCCAACGCTGGTGGGCCCAGGAGCCACAAAACTCGGCAGTGACCCCGTGTTCCAAAACTCGGCGGTGATCTTTTGGGGATTCCAGGTCATCACCTGATGTCTCACCTCCTGGTTTGGGAACTACCACATGGTTCCCCACTGCCGGCGCTGAACCGGACAAGATCGTCCACCTACCTACATCCTGGCCTCCTTCCTCGTCCCTTATCCACTTGTGCTTCCCAAACTATCCATTGTCGCTGGCAACGAACCAAACATTTTCGCGCTTTCTACCCGTCTCAGGCTCGCTAGCGGCTACGGGGTTGTTTTGCGTCCTTTTACGCACTCCGCTGCTGCGTTGAACGCGGCACCTGCCTATGCCATCGCTGCGCACGCGCATTCACCCTCCCAATCCTCCTCCTCCTCCTCCTCCTCCTCCTCCTCCTCCTCCTCCTCCTCCTCTTCCGCCTTCTGTTCCTCCCTCCCCCTCCCTCTCGCTCCCCCATCCCCCTTTCCCTCCGCTGCGAGGGCAGGGAACCAGGCTGCGCGGCTTGTATTTCTGTATTTTTGTTCAACCGCTGCGCCCAGGAACCTCCAGGAAAGGACGCTTCGTGAAGGGTCTAAGAGAAAACCTTCCAAACTCGGCGCATTCGAAAATCTAGATTCCGAACGGAGGGCCAACTGACGGGTGCGCGTGCGGGAACTGGTTGAGAGGCCGCCACCCCAGCCGCCGCCTTCCGCCGGCGGAGGCGCCGCCATTGTACTCCCGTGGGTTCTCACGGGCTTCCACCGAAGGCGAGACGCGCTGAAGGCAAAGGTTTTCCGGAGCGCCGCATGGCAGAGAGATGCTTCACACCCTAGCGAACAGAGCCTCGCCGCTGCTGCTGCTGCTGCTGCTGCTGCTGCTGTTGCTGCTGTTGTTACTGCCTGCTACGCCGCCGCCGTTGAAACTGCCACTGCCGAACTGTCCGCGTCGCCGTCATCCTCCCCCCCCCCTCTCGGGCACGGGGTGCCTGCTCGGCCTGGCCAGCCCTGCATGAGAGGGCGAGAAAGATGCCACGATAAGACTGGCTCAAGAGATGCCCCACGATTTCCAAGAGATATCTGGCGGCCCGCTTTGCAGCCCGTGTGGAACGCTTGGGGATGTTGGAAGCCCTGGAGACCTTGGACACCCCAGAGCGTAGCATCATCATGACCTCTCCTCGCTCAGGAACAAGGGAGGAGGAGGAAGGAGGAGAAGGAAGAAGGGGGGAGGAGGAGGAGGAGGAGGAGGAGGAGGAGGAGGAGGAGGAGGAGGAGGAGGAGGAGGAGGAGAAGGAGGAGGAGGAGGAGGAGGAGGAAGAGGAGGAGGAGAAGGAAGGAGGGAGGCGAAGGAGCTCTGCCAAGAGGCCCATCCAGCGGCGATCCGAAAAAAGGGCCACGCGCAGGCCGGCACGGCGGCCCCGCGCGGTGGCCTGCGCGGGCCGCCGCGCGCGGCACCCCCCACGGGCGCGACGCGCACCGCGCCTCGGAGAGACGAGGGCGCTCACGCGCGACCCTGCGCGAGAGCCTCGGGAGGGGGCCCGGGGCCGTGCGCCCCCGCCTCCGCCGCGCCGCACGCCGCCGGCCCCCGCCCCCGAGAGCGGGGCCGCCCTGCCCTGTGAAAGCGGCCCCCACGCGTGCGCGCAGCCACTCCTGTCCAAGGGGTACCTCGTCCTGCGCGTCCACTTCGGCACCGCCCGATCCCCAGGCTCCGCCCGCTCCTGGCCGCGCGAGGCCCCGCCTTGTTCCGCCCTTTCTGTGCCAATTCGAGCTGTGCGCGTCCCGCTCAGCTTTCAGCGGAAGAGGTTCGCTCTCGCCCTGCAGATCAACAAAAAAAGTGCGCGCAGCCACGGGGGCGCCTCCGAGAAGACCGAGGCATCACAGCAGGGGGCGCGTCGACCCCTCATCCCAGGCTTCGCGAGGTCGTCGAACGGGCCGAGACGTTGGGGCTCAGCCCTGGGATCGACGATGGGGGGGCGTCCGTCCTCGATAAGGGGCACGTCCGAATGACCCCGTGCTGGTGAGAAAAATCCCCCGGGGATAGCAGGAGTTCGGGGCCCAGGCGGCGAGGCGGGATCGTAAACAGCTTCCCGCAGGTGTCGATGTTAGGATGTGTGGATCGCGTTTCGCCTGAGACATCATCACAATCGGAGCTACGATGGGAATTTCGGAGGAGATCATAACATTCGGCCTCCCCGCCACTTGCGGCAATTTAGCCACATTCCTTCCCGTGGGTAAAGAGATACAGAGGTTAAGGGAGTGATGCTATGTTATCCGCGACTTGCGGTTTGCCCCCTTGGGGTGTATCCCAAGGGCTCTACCTTTCTTCTGAGCGGCCCAATTTTTCGGGCGGAACTCGGTAACTGGGGGAAAAAGAATCGCCCGCGAGAAGCGGGCCTGAGGAACTCGGGTCCTGGGCCCCGGGGCCCTCCCACAGGACGAGCTCCTGATCCTGATTGAGCCATTTTCTGACAGTCCTGGGGCTCAGGAAGGGCCCACGAGGGCCAGCACAACAGAAAACCTCTGGACCCGCTGCCCTCAGGACCCGTTCTGACAAGGCGAAAATCTACCCCTAACACTTTGGAGAGCGAATGTAAGTTAGGAGGGCCGACAACATTTGAGATAAGGGTCTTGTTCTGGAGATGTATCAGACCGAACCGCGCAGATGTACTATCCCCGATGCAGGGACGGGAATCTCGGTGAGGTCACGTCTTCATCGCTTTGTCGTGTTACCAGGGTTAGGGGTTCTTTTGTTCTCGATGACGCTTCCCCCATGGCAAATGAGAGGGAACAGCGAAGCCACCACCCGAAGGTGTGGTCTCAAGGTAGCCGAGGAGAGCCCTCCCGAAGGCGTGGTCTCATGCCGCTCGAGGCACGGTCATCCAATCCCCACGTCGCGGACCTGCTCGCTGGAGGTGGCCCCAGACATGTTCGCGTCGTGGCAACATCATTTCCGGAGGCTTTTCGTCGTGTTCGTCCCCTCGGGGCTGGCTCCGGGCCCCGTGACCGTCAAGCAGCAGCTCAGGAGTGAAACTTCGGGCCCAGGGAAGGGGTCAGGACTTGTGGGGCCAGGGACCCCGTGTGGGAAACATTCGGGTTGGGCGAAAGGGGGGGATAGCAAAGGGGGGGTTTGAGAATCAGCTCGCGTAGCTAATTTTCCCGGCGCCTCCCGGCGCCGGAGGCGGCTATGTATCGAGGAATGGGCCCCTCGGTGAGGCCGAAACCAGCTGCATGCAGCAAATTTCGTAACCCCCCCTTTCCCAATCCCCCCCTTTCGCCCGACCCGAAACATGGGGCCGTCACATGTCTGGGGCCCCCCGTGGTGCTGCTCGCGGTAGTGGTGGCGCTTCTCCCTCCGCCCACGTCTGCAGCGAATGCCCCCCGGGTGGCGCGTCTCCCCCTCCGCCCAAGGAGGCCCCGAGGTGTCCATCTCGACGGTGACCGTGGTGGGCGGGTGCGCGGCGGTCGCCGTCCCGCTGATGATGCCCGACAGCGGGTCCAGGGCGAGGCCCTGGGGCCCGCACAGGGGGCGGGGCTCGTGCTGAATGCTGCGGATGGGCGGCGGCTCATGCCGTGGATGCTGCGGCCGCTGCTCCTCCTCCTGCTCCTGCTCCTCCTCCTCCTCCTCCTCCTCCTCCTCCTCCTCCTCCTCCTCCGACTCCTCCTCTACCCAAAACTATACCTATGATCCTTGCTCCGTCATCATGGTCGAGACCAGATAACAACACGAACATCAACACCAACTCCAACTCCAGCACCATCATCCTCATCCTCATCATCCCCATCATCCTCATCATAACCAGAGTCGTCACCATCATCACCACCAGCATTAGTGACAGCACCCCGCTCGGATGGGTCGTCTGCCCCCCGGCTCTGCGCGTGGCCCGCGCCTGTGCGCGGCGGCGCTCTGGCGGGTGCGGTCGCCTCTGGAGGGCCCCGCACGGCAGCGCGCCGAGCGATGCCAAGCCAGGTGTGGGAGGCCTTGTGCGGCCTTGGCAGTTGGCGGCGCCAGCAGCTCTCAGCGCAGACGGCGTGGGGAATCCCAGTCGCCGGCCCACAGCGCGACGGATCGGGATGCAGCTAGGTGCGCCAGCGGCGTCCTCCGCGCAGCGAGAGGGAGCATGTTCATGCCGCTTGCGATCCGCGCGCTGGAGGTCCTCCAAGGGCCACCCCCCGGACGACGTCGGCATCGCCACCGCGCGTTCGTCGCCCTGCCTCGGCGGACTCGGCGTACGCCTCCCTGGCGTTGTGGATGCCACGACAATGGACACCCTAACAGTCCGATTCTTCAATTGCAAATGTGCTTAAGATGTCGGAGACATGTCCTAAGCATGTTTTCAACATGTTGTTTACATGTTTAAACCATGCTGACCACATGCTGTAGACATCTGGAAATGATTTGGCAACATGCTTCCTCTCCATTGACCGTCCTCCACAACCCTGGCGAGCCACAGCCCGACGCCAGGCTGCCTCGCACGCTGGGCCGCCCACTCGGCGTTGGACAAACCTCCCTTTAGCAAAACCTCCCCTTAGTGAACACGGCCTGGGACCGAAACCGACGGACCTGGCCCTGCAAAAATGACGGCCGCGACGCCCTCTCGCAAACGAAAACGGCCAATTCCTCCATCGACGTGGTCTGGCGCGCGGAGCGCGCCAGGGGCGGCGCCGGAGGCGCCGCCGGGGGGCCCCAGCGCGGATCCGAGAAATCCGCGCGGACCTCCGAGTTTTTATGTTTATGCCACTTTTTGTTCTCCTATTCCCCTCCATTGGCCGTCCTCCACAACCCTGGCGAGCCACAGCCCGACGCCAGGCTGCCTCGCACGCTGGGCCGCCCACGCTGCCGACGTATGCTTACGGCGTCCCTCAAGCGCCCCCGGCCGCACCCCGAGCCACGACGCCGGGCGCGGAGGCCGCCTGCGAGGCGGCAGCGAGGCTCCGCAGCCTCGGAGTCGATTCCGCTGGGCAAAGCACTGTGAAGGGGCCCTGGGACACACACACACACACACACACACACACACACACACACACACACACACACACACACCCACACAAGATAGACACAAATAACAGGATATTCCCCATCTGTTCTTATATTTTCTGGGTTTTCGCCTTCCCCCGCACTTCCCATATGTTCCCATAGCTTCCTGGGAGTCGACGATGAATTGTGTCTGTGTGTGTATTTTCCCCTCCTGGCATTGGCACGCAGCAGGCGAAGCCGAGGCGGAAGCCTTGCAGACCCCCCTTCCCGCACACGCCCCGCTACAGGATGCCTCCCGCTTCGTCGGCGACATCGGCGACTCGCCTCTGGCTGCCGCGCCAGTGGCGCAACGCCCGTGGGCGCCTGCCGGGGCCGCGGTGGAGGGGCCGGAGGCGGCCCGTTCGACCACACCTCTGGGACGGGCGGTTTCCGCGCCGCGGCCGCCGGCGCCGGCTCTGCACGGGTGCTGAAGCGCTGCTGGTGGTGCAGGACGTGATGGAGGGCGCGCGCCGCCCGCAGCCGAGGCGTCTATTCTGAGGCACCGAGCGTTCCGTGCAGGGCGCTTGCGGCTGCGCCTCGAGGCCGACGACGAGCGGAGGGCGCATCTCCTGTCGCACGCAAGGCAGGGGCCACGGCACTCTCTCGCAGCGGCGAGGCTCTGACGGCGGATGGACTTCTGCCGCCGCCCGGGCGCGGAGCGCGCCCCGCCCGGGGCAACCGTGCGGCCTGCGGCGCGCTGCTGCGCTGGAAGACCGCGGCGAGCTGCTCTCGGCTGCCTCGCCGCCCACGCTCTGGCCCGCAAGCGCGCACCAGAGCCGCACGCGGCCTCGAGGGCGAGCTGCGCGCTCCGGGAGCCGTCGCGGACTGCGAGCGCCGAATCCCCGAGCTGTACCGGCTCACTCCTGGCGGGTCGACGCGCGAGGCAGCTTGGTGGCGCGCACAAAAGGGGCAGGGGGAGGGGAGACGGCTTCTTAGAACGAGGCTGCTTCTTAGAAGGCGCCTGCCTCACATCTATAGACAAGGCCCGCGCCTCTCAAGAAGCAGGGGTGCCTCTACGAAGCCTTCCCCCTCACCCGAACCCCCCTCTGCGTGTGGCCGAGCAGTCGTGAGACTCGCCGTGGACTTCCCGACTACCGCTCAGCACCGGTGGCTGGACGGCAGCGTCCGGTCGCCTGTCTGCAGCTGCGTGCCAACGGCCCACGGCCGGCGGGGTTGCCAGTGCTGCGGCGGCGGCGCGGAGGCGGGGAACCGCGCCAAGGCGGCCCGAGACGGCGGCACTGTCCGCAGCGTCGCTGTCGAGGCCAGTGAGCGTCTCAGCGCAGGCGCGGCGACGGTCATCGCCAAGCATTCGGCCGCGTTGCAGCTGCACGGGCGCCGTTTACGGGGCGGCTGCTCGGCACGACGGCGAGCGCGCTCGCAGAGCGCATTAGCATCGCAGATCTAGTGCGCCTGCGCGACGCTGGCGGCATCCAGATCATCATCATCATCATCATCATCATCATCATCATCATCATCATCATCATCATCATCATCATCATCATCATCATCATCATCATCATCATCATCATCATCATCAACATCAACATCAACATCACCATCACCATCACCATCACCATCAACAGCATCATCCTCATCCTCATCCTCATCCTCATCGTCATTATCATCCTCATCATCATCATTACCATCATCATCATCATCATCATCATCATCATCATCATCATCATCATCATCATCATTGTCATTGTCATCAGCATCATCATCAGCAGCAGCAACATCATCATCACCAGCACCGCCATGACCATCATCATCAACAACATCATCATCAACAGCATCAGCATCATCAGCATCATCACCAGCATCAGCATATCATCATCACCATCATCATCATCATCGTCATCATCATCATCATCATCCTCATCATCACCAGCATCATAATCATTACCATCATCATTACCATCATCATTCGTATCATCAGCATCAACATCATCATCAGCAGCAGCAACATCATCATCATCACCACCGCCATGACCATCATCCTCACCATCATCAATATCAGCAGCACCATCATCATGAGCATCACCATCATCAGCGTCATCAGCATCACCATCATCATCATCATCATCATCATCATCATCATCATCATCATCATCTTCATCATCATCATCATCATCATCATCACTATCGGTATCGTCGTCAGCGTCATCATCATCATCGCCCCCTCTACCATCTCCACCCCCTGTGCCACGCAATCCTTTTCCTCCCCCCGTGCCACCCCTCCTGTTCGACCACCTACTCCCCAACCGGGGAGATGAGGTTCATCACGGGTGTTCAGCTCACTCATCACATCCCACCCCCACCTCAGGATGTTCCTCCCCCTCCCCCCTAGGCACACTTGTTGGGGTTCCCCTCCTCCCACCGTCCCCCTCCCCCTACTGCTCGCTCTCTCTCTCTCTCTCTCTCTCTCTCTTCTCTCTCTCTCTCTCTCTCTCTCTCTCTCGGCTCCCTCACGGACTGTATCTGAATCAAACGCACGCGCTCTCAATGGCCGCTCGGGTGCTGCTTCTGGAGCCTAAGCAGGCGCGGCCTGCGGTGCTCTGCTACATCGCCGTCCCCCGTCAATCAAAGCACTTCAATTTGTGAGCACAGGTGCCCTTCTTCCAGCGCCGCTTTGATGTTGTCAGCCCCTCCCCCGCCCCCTGTCTTCCCAATATCCTTCCTCCATCCCCTCCCTCTACCCCTCCTTTTCCTGCCCTCCCCCCCATCTGCGGCTCCTGCGGCAAAGGTGAAGCGAGGCGCCAGCTGGTGGGCACGCCGGACATGATGGGCTGAAGCTCCACTTCCTGGCAGGGGGAAGAAGCGGACTAGGGGAAGGAGGGGATTCGGCGGGCACTGTGGCGTATTACGGTGCTCCAGGCGTGCTTGAGATGGTCCAGTGGGCTCATGAGTTCCCCCGGGCCAGTGATAAACGGGGGGAGGAGGAGGTCAAGTTCGCGGGAGAGGGGGGAACCGTGACGAGCGAGCAGGGAGGATGGAAAACAAGGGGGGGGGGGGGGGGCGTTGCAAGGGCGAGGAGAAGCAGCAGCAGCAGCAGCAGCTTGGAGGCACTGGCCAGCAACGGAGGGGCTCCGATCGGCGCTGGATCCCCCCCCCCCTCCCTGGCGCGCGGAGGGCGCCATGGGGCGACGCGCGGAGACCGCCGCCTGGGGGTCCTGGCGGCCGGTGCACGACATCCGCGCGGAGCTCTGAAAGTTTAGGCTTGTGCCGGTTTCCCCCCTCCCTCGACTTGGGCGCCCGAGTTATCCGGGGTAACTCGGGTCCGGGGTAACTCGGGTTTGGATTTCCGAAAAAGGAACCCGAGTTATCCCTGACCCGAGTTACCCCTGATGATTCGGGGCCCTGGACGCCCGAGTTATCCGGGGTAACTCGGGTCCGGGGTAACTCGGGTTCGGAATCCCGAAAAACGAACCCGAGTTATCCCTGACCCGAGCTACCCCTGATGATTCGGGGCTCTGATCGACGCTCGGCGGCGAGCGATGGGGGGGAAGGGAGAAGGGGAAGGCCTTCTCAGAAGGCGGCGGAAGTCCCCCGGCCTTTTTTTGGTTGAGAAGTATATTGTGGGCCTTCCCTCCAAGACGTCACAAGAACATCTCCGAGGGCGCAGGGACGTTCTAAGAAGAGCCCCCGCCTTCTGAGAAGACCTGTTCCTTCTCACTACCCCCCTCGCTCGCCGCCGAGAAGCAGGGGAAAGGCGGGCCAACTTGCCCTTGCTCGGGCGTCCATTCCATTCCCCGTGCTGTGTTCGGTGTCGTGCGTGTTTGTTGTTGTTTGCCAAATGATCCAGGATGCTCCTCGAGGGTCCTCGCTAAGAAGACATGCGCACGTCAGAGCGATGCCTCCTCCGACCTTCTCCCTCCTCCTCCTCCCTCCTCCCTCCTCCTCCTCCTCCTCCTCCTCCTCCTCCTCCTCCTCCTCCTCATCCAGGATGCTGCTCGCTGGTCCTCGCTGAGATAAGATGCACATGTCCGAGCTGTGCCAAGGCCTGTCCTCCCTCGGAGCAGAGGAAGGGCGGACACAGTGGGGCGGGCAAGACGGCCCGAGGCCGAGGCGTCGGAGCAGGCGCAGCAGGAGCGGGGCGGAGAGGGGAGCTCCGCCCGGGAAAAACCAGAAGGTACCGATACCGCTGCCTGCCCGGCCTCTCCTGGGGTGCGTTCTGGCCAGGACTTCGAAACCGAATCCAGCGGCGTCGCCGAGGGCCTCCCAGGAGGCCCCCCGAAATGGGAGAACGAGACAGGAGCCAGCGGGTCGCGGCGTCGGTTGCACGTCGTGCCTTTCTACGCGTGCTCATCTCAAATTGTGCCCGTTTCTAACTGTTCCTGGTCAGGAAGGGGCCCAGGACACAACCCTCAGAAATGGAAGGATCCTGGCCCCCCCAAAAATCAGGGAGTTTTCGAAGAATTCGGGATGAATTACGTGTACCTTTTCCTCCTCCAACCAGGCTGGCCCCCCTTCCCACGAGGGCCGCCTCGAGCGCACCACCCCGCCGGGGGGAGGGGGGGGGAGGGGCAAAGACCTCCTGTAGGCGCCCAGGGAGGCACAGGAGAAGAGGAGGACTGTACAAGTTCCAGAGGAGGACCACGCACAAGTTCCAGGAGGACCACGCAAGTTCCAGGGGAGAGGACACAAAAGGGAGGCACAGGAAAAGAGGAGGACTACACAAGTTCCAGGGTCCCATCAAGGTTTCTCAGATTCTCGGGGTGTTCGCCTTCCCTCCCATGCATTCGGGCGTTGGCAGAACTGGGTTTAGTGGAACCTGGTTTAGTGATTCATACTGGGGGCGCCCCCCCGCCCCATTTCCACTAACCGGAACTGCCGTCACCCGAAAAACACCGCTTGCGGCAAACCTTGTTCAGTGAATCTGGCCAATTGAGGTGCCCCAGGGCCCTACCACTAACCGGGTCCCCTTAGCCGTGGTCCTGGCTATACCCGATACATGTTCTCCTGCAGATCGACGCGTGTTTGTGCCTGCGGCAGCCTGTCCCTCCGGAAGGGAAGCGGGAGCCCGTTGTTGGGGCCTGGCGCGCCCTGGCGGTACCTCTGGTGGGCGACCGACGAGCATCACGAGAACCGCGCTGCACCTCAGCGGCTGCTGGATTCTCGCGGCGCTGAAAGTCCGAGAGCAGAACGAAAATTGATGCCGCAAGTCGTGGCACATGATGAAGGCCACGTCAATGTACAACAAAACGGGTACCAGTGAACTCCCCAGAAAAGGCTGGGGTCCCCAGGGCCGCAGACTGCAGGGATGTGGGGGAGGAAAGGCGGAAAGGGATGGCTGGAGGAACTCGGCGGCACGCAAGAACGACCCCAGGCAAGAGTGCCCCTTGGTGCGCGGCTTACCGATCGTTGCGTGCGATACGATGCGTACTTGACTACCTACCAGACCACCCCAACCCAACCCGAAGACCCGAATTTGACCCGAATTTCGGGTTGGGGGGGGTACGGATACCATGCGTTTTTTCAACGTTCCCCGACCCCCCACCACTGGAAATCGAGGATAAATTTGGGCCTTCGGGTTGGGTTGGGGTGGTTTGGTGGGTGGTGAGTACTTGGGTCTGGCACCAAGGCGCCCCTCGTAAGCCATACACCCAAGGTCACTCCGAGGAAAGGTCCCTTGGCTTCTGGCTCCCCGCGCGGGTCTCCGGTGGCCGTTCGGGACGATCGGGGCACCTCCTCCTCCTCCTCCTGCTCCTCCTCCTCCTCCTCCTCCTCCTGCTCCTCCTCCTCCTCCTCGTCCTCCTCCTCCTCCTCCTCCTACGAAAGCGCCCCACGAAGGGGTCACTCCTACGTGCAGTCAGAGGACGTCTGCAGCGAGCCTCGCCAGCGGCCAGCCGCGCGGGCGGCGCGGCGGCGCCTGGCCCACACAGAGCACGGCGCTAGCTGGCTCGTAGTAGAGGACGGCGGGCTTGCCACCGCTGCGGGAAGGGAGGTAGGCTGGGGGGCTTCTCGTCGTCCTCGTCGTCGTGCCTCTCCTTCTCCTCCTCCCTCCTCCGCCATCGTTCTCCCTCCTCCTCCCTCCAGTGTCCCTCCCCCTCCTACCTCGTCCATCCTCCTACCCCTCCACTAGGGAGCCCTCTCGAATGCAATTCTGTTCAGGTTCTGTCTGTTGTCCGCCTTGCCTGTCTCAGATTGCGTGGCTCAGACTTCGCAGCTCAGATTTCCCAGTTTGGACTTCCCAACCCAGATTGCGAACCCCACACTGCAGATCCAAGCTTGCATGTTACACATAATGGCATGCAAAACAACGCCTGCGAACACATATTGCATAGAACACTGCGCGTCTTTACTCGCAGGTCTTTTTTTCTGCTTACGCGTCCACACCCTCGTATATTGACTCCAAGCATACGAAAAAAAGAGAAACAAGCGAACATATGATAGTCAAGGGTTCTTCGTGGGGTGATGCCTTTAGGACCAGGAGTGGTGGGGAGCGGACATCCTGGAAACCACGCAACTCAGTGAGACACGCGTGGCCCTTGAAAATTGCCTCGCAGTGGCGCCGCACAGCACGGCACAATGCGCGAGACACCCCGGCCCAGTTCCTGACGTCTCCAGGTTTCGAATCAGTGCTGGGCAAGGGCGAAATCGAGGAATCCGTCGTCTACAGTAGGAGATCGACCACAAGAAACCTCCCACAAGAAACTAAGCCCTGAGACCCCCGGACGTCTATGGATTTTCGGTGTGGGAACGTCACGCTTTCCATTGCAAAACCATCGAAATCCAAGAAACCCAGGGAAACCCAGAGGCAGGCAGGGTGTTTCTTGGCATGGGCTTCCACTGCAAGGCGAAGGCAGGATGAGGACAAACTCGGATGGGGAGAGGCCGCTAATCTCGGAGGGCTGGCGGGCCTGGAGGTGTGTCGGGCGCCGAGGCCGTTCCAGAGCGCCCCGGGACGCTTTGAGAATGCTGCTGAACGCTCTGGACAGATTTATGCCTTCGTCCTCCCGGACATCCAGCGTCACGTTGCTGCCCACAAGGTGGCTCACCAGAGGTCTGGAGCACTTCCCCCCCGTCGGCTTCTCATCCAGAGTGGCTCCCTGACGGTCCCTGGGGCCTGCAGCGGGCCCCCTGGAGGCCGAAAATGGTGGTCAAGAGCCTTTCGTCGATCGTCTTGCCCCACGACTCGAGGGTATCAGGGGTAGGCCTGCCTGATCGTCAAGCTTGAAGTGATATGTCTCAGGATCGTCTTAACTGCATTGGTGAGCCAAAGGCTCGGTGTACCACCATGGTGTACGACTCGAGGGCAGCGTAACGATGGAGCATAGTGGAGGAGGAATGTAGGCGGTGCGAAGGAGACTGGACTGGGCTGTACCTGCGTCGGGCCACGGGTCGAAATGAGCTCGACACCTACACACACCAGATGCGGCATTCGATGTACGTACCACCTGCAGCGCGCGCACTCATGCAGCAAAGTGAACGTCCCCCCCGATGGGGGAGCCCCGAGTTGAACCTCGAGGAAGATCAGCGGGCGAGGAGCGGTATATATCGAATGAACGCCTCCTCCGTCGGGGACGCCCGCCCCCTGGGCGCCTGGAAAGTTTGCACCACGACGTGACACCGTGGGGGTATGAACTTTGCAACCGCCCAGGGGGCGGGCGTCGCGGGCGGCGGCGGCGGGAGAGCTTAAGTTATACCGTATTCGCCTACACGTCGTTCATTTCCAATCGTGCTCATTTCTCAGTGTGCTCGTTCCTACCTGTTCCTGCCCCCCAAGTGGCCAGGAAGAGGCCCAATATAGAAGAACTAGAAATGAGAGGATCTTGGCCCCCCAAGAAATCAAAGAACTCTCGAATAATTTGACATGAACAACGTTAGGGAACCGAATTCTATGCACCGACGCATTTTCCGGCCCTGCACTGAAGCTCGCACAGGACAGCGGATCCTGGTGTACACGGTGTATACGGGATGATGGTGTATGCATGTTTCGGCATCTCCCTCGGACAAGTATACACCACACCACCCCGACGTCGTCCCGGACCCTCAAAAAGTACAGGGATTGAACAACAGCTTTGGACGCCCGAAATGGGTACAGAAAGAATGGGCACAATGCCCAACAACAAATGCTGTCCCAAACCAACAGCGGCCGATGTTGGGCAGGCGGCCTTCTGTCTCAAATAGACACAAGCCGCGGCGGCGCGGACGGCGGGCCCTGTTCAAAATGAGCAGGAACTGCTGTTGGGCATTGTACCCATTCTTTCCGTACCCATGTCGGCGGTCGTCCCGATCAGCACGCCACTGGTACTGTATACGTTCCAGTATACCCCCTGTAGGGGGACAGGCCCGACTTAAGTGCATTCGCAAGAGGAGGCGCGCGGCGGATCGGGAGCGGCCTAGAGGGGGGTGTCCAAGAGGGGGGGGGTGCAAATCATGACCGGCGGCATGTGCGCGGCGCAGCGGGGAGGCCAGGGACGTAATGAAATAAGAAGAGGCGCCATGACATCTGGGGAGATATCATGGCCCCCGCCATGATATCCACCCCCCCCCCGCCTAGTCATCACCCCCCTCTTTTCCGCCCCCGAGCGGAGGGGGGGGGCCTCGGCTCGCCGCCGGCCCGGGACCCGAGGGCGGCCTGGCAGGCGCGCGGCGCCCGCGGAGCGCCCTCGAGGCCGCGGAGGCCGCCCCGAGTGGGGCCGAGCTTCTGCGCGCGGGTGCCCGCGCAGTGGGCCTCCTCCTCCTCCTCCTCCTCCTCCTCCTCCTCCTCCTCCACCTCCTCCTCCTCCTCCTCCTCATTCTCCCCCTCCTCCTTCCTCCTCCTCTCCTGCTCCTCCTCCTCCTCCTCCTCCTCCTCCTCCTCCTCCTCCTCCTCCTCCTCCTCCTCCTCCTCCTCCCCTATTTCCTCCTCCTCCTCCTCCTCCTCCTCCTCCTCCACCTCCTGCTCCTCCTCCTCCTCCTCCTCCTCCTCCTCCTCCTCCTCCTCGTCCTCGGGTCGCCTACGGCCCCGGGGGAAACCGTGCAGCTCTCGGGCGTCCCCGCCGCCAGGCAGCCGCCGCGAGCACTCCCGTCGCTCCGGTGAGCGACGGGAAGAGAAGAAAAGGTCTTACAGTCGGACCTGAGGCAGAAGAGCATCCTGTAGGAACATGGCACCCTCCGCCGGCCCAAGCACACACAGCATCTCCAGGGGTGCCCTCCCCAGGATGGCACGAGAGCATCCAGCAAGCACGAAGAACACTAGGGCACCCTTCCCGATTCGACCTCGATCTTCTACCTCGGTCCGACTGTGCGACGTCATCCTCCTCCTCCTCCTCCTCCTCCTCCTCCTCCTCCTCCTCCTCCTCCTCCTCCTCCTCCTCTTTCCCGTCCTCCTCTTTCCTCGTGCCCTCGGCGACCCTCCACGACACACCCGGAATCTGGAACAAACAACACACGCGTAGCTGGGGTTCACATGGTGAGCGGCGGAAGCAAAACTGTTTTTTCATGCGGGCATAGCAGCCTCGCGCGGTGGCTTGTACGCGGGCCGCCAGCGCGGCTCGCCACGTTGGAGGCAAGGGCGCTTGCGCGCGGCATTGCGCAGGCAACTGACGCGCGAATGTTGGCGCAGACGACCCCGAAGTGTTCTCAAGACGAAGCCAGGACGAGGACACAATCGGGTGAGGATAAATCGAGAATCTCTGAGACCCGGCTGCTCTGGAGGATGCCTCGGGCGCCGCCGCAGCCTTCTCAGAGCTTTCCCGAACGCTCTGGAACGGACTTATCCTAGTCCTAGCCCGTTCGACAGGTATCGGAACCACTACTCCCCGGACCTCTCCCGAGGGGGCGTCTGACCAGAATTTCAGGACGAATCCGGCCTTGGCGACGAGGGCCTCCCAGGAAGCCCGAACAAGGGGGGCACGAGGGAAGGGGAGGGAAGGCAAGGGAAGCGGAGCCCGAAACCTCGCCCCAGTCCCGTCTGAGTTCTCCCGTCGCTCAGATGGGATATGGGAGCATCGTCCCGCATCGCCGATGCCTCGGCGGAACGCCAGGCTGACAAAGATCCGGGCGCCCCGGGGCGCGCCGCATGCCGGCGACGCATACTTCGTCGATGAGCGGCGCAATCCGCCGGCCCCTGCCTCCTCGGACCCCCAGTTTGGGGGGGGGGCCTTTGGGCCAGTCTCCTCCTGGGGCTGCTCCTGGGCCGCCGTCGTCCCCTACACGTCGTTCATGTCTAATCGTGCTCATTCCTGATTGTGCCCGATTCTGAAGTGTTCCTGGCCCCCTAGTGGCCAGGACGAGGCCCAGGACAGAACAACTAAAAATGAACGGATCTTGCCCCCCCCCCAAAAAAACAACGAACTCTTGAATCACTAGAAAGGAACAATGTGTATAGATGGGGGAGGGAGGGCGGGCGCAACGAGCGAGCGCGTGCCGCAGAACGACAGAACTGGGAGGGAAGACGGAGAGGCGAAGGCGCCAGAGAGGGGCAGGGAGAAGGCGGACACGGCGAAGGAGGGGAGAGGAGCAGAGAAGGCCAGCGTACCCAGGAGAAGGAGAGAAGGAGGCACCAGAGAAGGAGAGGGACTCAAAAACGACAGCCAGGGCTTCAGATGAGAAGGCCAGAGAAGGGATCAGAGGAATCAGGTGCAGCTCTCATGGCGAAGCCTCGCCGCAAGGTTGTGATTCCAATGTGCTGCTGGTATACCGTAGTCGGCGGCGACTTCTGGTCAAGCAGCAGGCGTGCTTCCTGAGATACCACGTCGCGTACAGAGACGCAACACAGTGAAGAGTCACGACCACAGCCCCAGGCCCCATCTTTCTGCATCATCTCTCGAGCCGGATCGACCTGCAAGGGTCCCGGGGCCCGAAATCAGGCAGAATCGCCCGTCGCGAAAAAATTGCAGACGCTGCAGGAGGAGGAGGAGGAGGAGGAGGAGGAGGAGGAGGAGGAGAAGGGTATTTTCTGACGCTGCAGAAAAAAGAGCTTCCAACAGAATGCTGCTTCTGCTCCCCCCGTGCTCCCCACATCTCGACGTGCGTGCGGCAGTCAAACCTGGGCGACGATCAAAAAAACGGGTCTCACGCGAGATGCCGTCGCAACTTCACGCGGGGGCTCACGCGGGCCGCCGGCGCGGCACGCTACATTTGGGAGCTGACGCGCGATTGTCGGCGCAATCGATCTCGTTTTTGCTTGAATCGCTCATGTGGATCCGCAAGTCGGCCTAGACGTGCGCCCAGGGGCCCGGGGAAGGGACGGGGAGGATGGTAGGTACCGCCCCGGAGGCGCCTCAGCCTCAGGGAGAGACCCAAGGTCAGGGCGCAGAGAAGCGATGCGATCCTGCCCCAGCGATGGGTTGAGACGGACAGCGGGTGGCGTTTTTTTTTGGGGGGGTGCGAGCACCTGCCTATGCATACCGTACCTGCCCCGGTACACAACATGCAACACGTAGCGTATTGATACGGAGCTCAACACATATACTGAACACGTAAGTATGGCGCGATAGGCTCGCCAAAACGTGGGCCAATACGCGGAACCAATACGCAACGTATTATCACGGACGTCTTGAGCACGGCGCGTATTGCGTGTCACAACGGGCGCATCGAACAGCTAGGATGCAGACTTGCCGAGGGAACCCTCGGCCAGCTCTCCAGGCGGAAGGCCGCACATGGCGCGGAGAGGAGGATTCCCTCCCTCCTCCTCCCCCCGCTTCCTCCTTCCTTCAATCCCTCCACTTTCTCCTTCCTCGCTTCCCCTCTCCCCATACCTCTCTTCGTGGCTGGTTTATCAAACTTCTCTCTTTCTCTCTCGTTATGTATGTTTTTCTCTCTCTCTCTCTCGTTCCCTTTCTCTCTCTCCCTCTTGTTCTCTTTCTCTCTCTCTCTCTCATTCTCTCTGGCTATCGTTCTTTATATGTTTTTCCCTCTCCCTCTCTCTCTCTCTACACACACAACACCCCATGCGAATCGCGATACAGCAGACGTGGATATCCGAGTACCCCCATGAGGAGCTTCGTGAACGACATACTGATCTACCGGCGGTGCGCAACCCGAAACAATACGACGGCACACGTGCTCGCTGTACACACGAGCTCGCCCGATCCGACGCTTCGAGCAGCCCTTCGCTTCACAGTACCTGCTAGTGACGTCGGACGCCAGGGGGCGGGATGGGGGGAGGCAGGCAGGCAGGCCGGGCACGAGGGAGGCCAGAGGCCGAGGAGGGAGGAGGGCGGGAGGAGGGGCGGAGAGGCGGCGAGGAGAGGAGGGGACGAGGAGGGGACGAGGGGGAGGGCGGGAGGAGAGGGAGGCGAGAGCACGGAGGCGAGGGGAGGGTGAGTGAGCGAGAACAGCAGCGAAACGAGGATTCGACAACACACGCCGCCCCCTGAGCTCGTCGAAGAAGCCGACGGACAGGAAGGAGACGCACGTCAACCCGTACGCGGCTGGCTGAAATAAAAGCTCGCGGAACACCGAGATGATATCGCGGATGGGTCGCTCCAGACAGTGACGGCGCCACTGTGCAGAAAGTCGCCAGCATGGCACAAGATAAACTGGAATGATTTCGACTCGATACGGCCCACTCCAATGTGAAAGCGCCACTGGTCATCGGGCCACCCTGACGGATCACCCCATCCACAGACAGCCTCGCAAACAGTCAATACGAAAGGACCACCACACAGCAAGCGAACCAACAGATGCTCACCCATTCTTTACAACAAACCAAATATTGGAGGAGTTGATAAACTGAAACGAATCAGCTCTCAGAGCCACGCTCCAGCGAAACTGCCGCCGCCCGACTGCGTCTTAGATGGCCTCGGAGCCCCTGTGCCCCCGCCGAGAACAACCGTTTTGAAAACGGTTCTGTGGTTGGAGCCCCCTAAGCGCCACCAGAAGGAAGTCGGCTGGGCGCTCCATGGCCAGCTCGGGCCCAACTGGGTACGATGCCTTGGGCGACCCGTGCTTGAAGAGGCGAGGGGAAGGGGGAGGAGGAAAAGGGGGTGAGGGGAGAGGGAGGGGAGGAGGGGGAGGGTGGAACAGGGGGGGGGGGGGGAAGGGAGAAAGTAAGTGTGAAAAAGGGGGGAAGGGGAGGGGGAGGAGGAGAAGGGGAGGAGGAGAAGGGGGGGAAGGGAAATGGAGGAAGGAAAGGGGAGAAAGGGGGGGGGGAGAGGGAGGAGCGACAGAGAGAGGGAAGGGGGAGGCGAGGAGAGCAGGCCCCCGCTCCCCCGTTCGAGTTCCCGTCCGGCCTTGCCGCTCGGCCTGGCCCTGTCGTTCCGCCCGGCGCCGTCCGCCTCGGAGGGCCAGGAAGAGGGCGTCTGTTGTGTATATATATATATATATATATATATATATATATCACTGATTATGTATACATGTACACATGTATACAAATAGCTTGGCCATGCAAGCAATCATGTATACAAATGTACATAAACATATACATATGCGTTCATACATATAAATGAACATGTGTACATCTATACATATATATACATATATATATATATATATCCCGACGCATTCCTTATTCTCATTGGCCAGCATAGAGATGTGTGGTGACGCATCGGCAACTCTGCAAAACTGAGGGCCGTCTCGGGCCGAGGAGCGCACGAGCAAAGGAGGCTCCCCACCACGTGCATTCCCCCTGCTCTGACCCCAAATGCGTCAACTGGTTGGTAGCACCAACCGCTCAAATATACGAGGCCTGCGTGATACATGTGCATTGCTACATGCTTGGGCGAGGGCACGACACGATCGCGGAAAGCATGTCTCGGCATCCTTTGTCTCTAAAATTCGATCAGCGGTCTTTCCGTGAAGCTGGGCGTGAGGCTGGTTAGTGCGTGAGCAGATATCTCTCTTAGACGATATGCAAAGGGCGCGGCCAATGCGGCCCACGTCAAGGCCGACGGCGGGGAACGCCGTGGCCTTTCGCCACGGCGTTCCCCAGTGGCAAAAGTGAGTGACAATGAACGAGACAGCAGCTGCGCGCAACAAGCGAACGAAGGGAAGCGCGATCCAAAGCTTGCTGGACTGAACATTCTCGATGCTGGCTGGGACGTTGGCCCTGAGGGCCTCATGAATGAGCGACGCACTGAACGACGTGAGACTAGTTCCAGCTTCGACCTCGGCCTGATCTTCGGGGCTGAGGTCGGGCAGGCCGAGAGGAAGCGCATGGCTCCGAAGCGGCCTCGGGCCCGGCGGGATGTCCCGAGCGCGGCTCCACGAGTTGCAGGGGGTCCCGAGGTGATGCCCAGAACCAGCCCGCTGCGCACCCATCCTCGGACGAGGGCGCGCTTGGCGAGCTTCAACACGTCGCTGTCCGGGCCCAGGCAGATGCCCCAGACAGGACAGGCAGCCCCACGGCGGCGAAGGCCTGGCCCTGCTGGCCAGAGCCGCCGAACACCTCCAGGAAGAACCGGGTCTTCAGGGAGGCGTGCATGGGCAGCGCCGGCCAGACGCGATCTCGCCGAGAGAGTCGGCGCACCGCGCTGCGTGGTCCTGCGTCGACGCGGGCACCATCTGCAGCACCTGTGACAGCCGTGTTCCTGTCTCGCCTCGTCGGACCGAATGCCGCGACTGCCGCCATCCTCTGCGCTGGACGTCGACGAGGGGCCTTGCTGCCGAAGTCGCGAGACGCGCAAGGTCAGTGGCCCATATGTGGCAAGGCTCGCCTGGCCGCAGGCACAGCTCGAAGCTGAGCCACAGCGCCAGCACCTCCCCCAGCTTCCCGCCGCGCACGAGGCAGTTCACTGGGGCCGCCGACAGCTCTAAGGGAAGCGGGAGGCGCGACGTCGGCGGCGCCAGTCGCCGAGGCCCTCGCAGCGCGCGCCGCGCCCGGGCCAGCGGCGATCCGGCCGCCTGGGTCAGTCCCAGGAAAAAAGAGCACCGACGCGAACAGCTCCTGCGCGGCCCCGATCCCCCCGCCGCCTAGGTAGAGCACGCGTTCAGCCGCTGGACCAGCTGCCTGTCGTACTCGTCGAGGCTCGACGGGTGCTCGCACCTCGCTGCCAGCCAAGCCTTGGACGGCCTCCAGGTACTGCGCCCGCATCGCGGCCGTCATCGAGCCCGTCTCGAGCACGCTGAGCCCCTGGCCGCTGGATTGCCTGAGCCCGCCGGCGCCCAGCGGCGGCCACGGTGGCCTGCACCTGCCCGCTGAGCGAGCGGGCTGGGCCGCGGGGGCGGCCTCGGCGGCCGGCGCCTCCAGGTCGGTCGATCGAGGCCTGGGCGTAGACCGGCTCAGCGTCGCGGTCGCCTCCCAGGCGCGAGGCGGGGCCGCCGGCGCCCGGGCCCGCTGCGACATGGCCAGCCGCCCGAGGGCACGAACCTCCCCCTCGACGGATTGTCGGCTGCGTCCCATTCCGAAGGTAGCCATCGGTAGTGGAGGGCGGTGGCGGCGACGAGGGCGACTGCTGCGATGGCCAAGGGCGACGCGCGGCATTTTGTAGGAACCACTCCGAAACCGATCGACGGCGCCTGCGGCGCCCAAAGGGTCTCCCAGCACAACGACGCGCCGTCCGCGATGCTGGGAGACTCTCACCAAGTGCTGGATGCCGTGCAGCACCGCCCTCGCATCGGCCATTGGCATACCCCCCTAGTGGCCACCACCAGCGGTGGCGGCGAACGGTCCGCCAGGGCAGCACGATGACCTCGGGCGGCACCTCGTCGAAAGCGTCGCCGACAGAGCCCCGGCCTCCAGCGCCGCTGCCCCAGTCGTCGGCCGGCTCGGCGCCCAGCGCCCAGGGGGCCGCCAGCGCCGCGGCGGACGTCGCAGCGCTTGGTCGGAGTGCGCCCGCTCCAGCCCCGCGCCCCGCAGCCGCTGCTTCGCCCTCTCGGAGCACTGCAAATTCTGAAAGATGCAATCCTTCGCGACGCCACCCCGCCGCTCCCCCGCGGCATCTCGAGAGCAACCGGCCGAACCGAGCCCGAGGGCAGTGAGATCGCGTCGGGGCGGTGGGGCCCGAGCTTGGAAGAGCCCACGTCGCGCCAGCCCGCCAAGCGAAGCTTCCGAAGAGCCCCTGCGGGAGTGAGTCCCGGGCCCCCCAGGGCTCGCGCCGAGTCCTCGACGAAGCCGATGGCCTCAAGCTGGGCGCGCAAGAGGGCACCTGAAGGCGGAGCTCCCTGCCCGAGCACCGGCTGCGGAGCGCGGTAGAACATCGCGCTGAGGCTCCGCGCGGCCCTGTCGCAGTCCTGCTCCACGGCAGCACGGGCGCCGATCCGCTGGCGAACCGACCGGCTGACGGCGCCCCCCTCCTCCGAGAAGGAGCCGACGGGCCCGCGGGGCAGCGGGCAAATATCACGAGGGGCGGCGCGACCATCTCCAGCGTCAAACCTTCGGCAAACTGCGGCAGCTGGCCCGGGGCGAGGAAGGCGGTCGGGCCCCGCCCCTGAAAGGCCCAACCCGTGCGAGGAGGGCGTCATTGCCCCTTCGGCCCCTTGCAGAGGGCCCCCCCCGTTCTCCCCGTGCAATTCCCAAATTCTTGGTCAGCTTCGCCTCGCGCTCCACCTCCGACCTCGCGTAGTCCAGCAGCTCCGGGGAGATCGTCAGCGCGGCCGAGGCCCTCGTCGTGCCCGCGAAAGCCTGCTGCTCCTCAAGCGAATCTTCCCCTGGTAGCTCTTGGGCTCGGCCTCCCGCGTGCGCTCCGAAAGGCAGAATTCGATCGCCTGGAGCCGCCGGAACTGGTACTCGACCATGACGAGGTTGCTCCCGTCGAGCTGATCGACCAGCAGCCCCTGGGCCAGCGCCTTGGCGATGTTGAAGTGCTCGAACACGCCCCGCGAGTTCCAGTCCAGCCGACAGGCCGCCTTGAAAAGCTCGTGGTGGCTCAGGAGACCGCCCCCTTCCTGATGGATGAACACGACGCACCGCGGGCGGGGGCGCGGCCCCGGGAGCTGCCAGTCGCTCCCGACGCACTCCAGCTTGATGGCAGCCGTCATCTCCGCCCAGGTGCGCTCACACCGATCCTGGCGGTTGCGTCTGATCGGAGTGATCCGAGCATCCGTGGCGACAGCGCGGTCGAAGAAGGCAGCCTCGTCCGCGGGGTCGACGTGCTCCACGAAGACCCCGCTCCCGTCGGGCAGCACGTGGACGTCGCGGTTGCCGACGGCCAGCGCACTCCGAGTGTGGTCCACGAAATCGCCGTGCCTGATGGGCCCCAGCGCCATCGCGACCCTCCACGCGGCCCTCGCCGGCGCGGCCGCAGCGCCCAGCGCCGCCCTCTGCAGAGGCCCGATCCGGGCAGGCTGCAGGGCCGCCGGACCGAGGGCTCCAGCCACCGCCAACGGCCTCAGGAAGCGGCAGCTGCGGGTCGCCTCGAGCGGCCGCGATCCGCTGGCACTCGGCCTGGACCTCCGCCTGAGCGTCGGCCATCGCCCTCGCCTTCTCGGCCGCCGTCGACTCCTGGCGGAAGCTCTAGGCCCGACCCAGGGAAACCCCGGCCGACACCGCCGCCCATGCCGCAGAGTACCTGACCGCGGCCACGTCCACGCTGTCGTCCCCGTCGTCCTCGGCGTAGACGTCCCCGTCTGGACTGAGGATGACGAAGCTAGAATCCGACAACCCCACCTGCCCGAGGACCAGCCTCTGATGCCACATGTGCTCGTCGTCTGCGTACAGCACGAACGCCCACCCCTTCGGCCTCAGCGCCAGCGCCATCGCTGCTGCTCGGCCCGCGCTTGATGCAGCACCGCGAGCCTGCCCAGGTCGCCTGCAGCACCACGGCCAGCGTCAACCCGACCAGCACGCCGGGCAGCAGCACCGCCAACAGGCCCCAGACAGAGGCCAGCCCCGAGGGTTCCGCGCGCTCGCCCTCTGGCGGCGCGGGGCAGCTCTCCGCCGGCGGCTACGCCGGCGTGGGCGGGGCGGCGACGCCCCCTGGGCAGCCCGGGTACGCCGGGCACGGCGCGCAGGCCGCCGGCGGCGGGCACGGCGGGCAGGCCGCACACCGGCAGTCCTGCACGGCGGGGGGGCACGTCAGGCACCGCGCCAGGTAGGCCCCCGCGACGCCCCCCGCCCACTCCAGGACTGGCACGGCGACGCGCCCGGCCATCCAGCCGAGGCCCGCCGCCCCTCCTTGCTTTGAGCCACCGAGGTTGCGGAGAAGGACCTGGATGACAGTGCTTGCGACTGGACACTGCAACACACGGCGGCCTCACCCGAAACGTGTCAAGGATTTCCGTACAAGTGCAACACATCTACAAACACAAACTTAGGCGCACAACTATATATATATATATATTTATATATATATATACACATACATATATATATATATATACACATATATATGTACAT